CGAAGATAGTGGAGGTGTGGGCGAGGGTTACTGTGAGGAACAACAGTCACGAGGAAAGGGTACTGGAAGACGAGGAGTGAAGGTTATCATGAGTAGTGGTGCTTTGGAATAATCAGGGTGGAAAAATGTTCAGCCTCGTAGTCGTGCACTCGTCTGCTATACGGGAGTCACGTCCTCCTCGGGGAATTTAGCGATTGAGTCAGGTGCTAAGAGGGGTGTTCATCGTCGATTGGTGGAGGGTGGGAAGCACGGAGTATGCAGCGACGAGGGATGTGGTTAAGCTAGCAAGTTTTGACGATAACTTGGCGTAGTGATCCTCATTATTTGCATCATTCTGACGATCGTGTGACATCTGGTGCATTCGCGATCTAACTCTATGCTCCGCCAATCTTGATTAAAAGAGATTTTTGTAAATGATTGTGTGAATCGATGCATGGACCTATTTCTCTTGAACGGTATAGTTAAACAAAGCGTTATGGATTATGTTTTCTAGGATCAGCTTTTGTGGAATACAGTCCGGATACTTATCATCCCGTGGTATGATCAACAATTGTCTTGTGAAACTTACCCGGTTATTAGTGGCCTTACCCCTCCTCTATATAACGAGAGTCCGTTCCATAGGAACCAGGGGAAGGCAATCTGTCCTGAGCTTATCCACACAGTAATGGGATTGCTTTCTAAAGAATAGGCTAAAGTCTTAAAGCTTCCGTACCGGAATTTTCCGTGCATGTTTCCTTAATTTCCAGGACTTACGAAAACCCAATCAATAGGATACGAAACCCTCCTCGCCTTTTATGTATCCATCATCATGAGTTGTTTGAGCCGAAGATGTGATCCGCATTCTTTTCTTTTCACTTCCTTTCACCCTTTCCCTTTTTCTTTCTTTTCTTTTCCAACCCCAATCAACCGTGAACCTGGATCGCTGGTCTTTCTATTTGGGTTGTGATTGCTGTTCTTCTCTTTTCACAGTCCTTGAGTCGGGACAAGGGAGGTAGCAGAGATCATGAGGCGGTTGGATACCTTAACGGTCCCGGTGTGGGTAATGAATGAACGTGCTTAGTGGACTTGTTTTCAGGTGGTATATAAGTTCCCCGCATACCTCTAACTCGGCTCGCCGTGATTTGCGTCACGGTAGCGTTATGGATAGTAAAACACACACACACACACACACACACACACACACACACACACACACACACACACACACACACACACACACACACAAGAATTGGTGAAAGTCCAACGAAACAGTCCGCCATAGTCGTGCTTCTTTACGAGGAGTTATGTATAGCGAGCGTGACAACACACACACACACATGCACACAAACAGACACACGAATGATCGGTCGACATTGATCGATCAATTATGGCCCTCCCCGCACTGCGCACGGAACGAAAAAAGACGAGTGCATCTGCCCACAGAAGATGGCAAAGTTTTCAATAGAAGTCAAGTCGAATATCCCGAACATGACGTCGAAAAATTTGTAACATAAAGCACAGATTGACGAACGACCCGACCGGTTTCGGCTGGCCGTCATACCAGCCTCATCAGGGGTCTTAAGATGTCGGTAAGGAACAGACTGTAGACTTCTATACTTATAGTATGTGGAAACAGCGAAGTAACTATTCTAGAAGCTACAGTCCAACTATCAACTGAAGAACCACAGTTCAAAATTGCTTACTGACCCAGTAACACCGGTCCTATCGACATTTCCGAAGTTCAAAATCACTTACCTCGGCGTCCATGTATTTTTCCGTCAATTCGCCAATATTCAGGTACAGTCCTAAAACAACCTACAGGCAGTTCGAGATATAACCGGTTCGAATCCACAGATGCACTACAGATCTTTTCTTTGAAAGTCTCCTCAGACACCGCGTACTCAACCATCAATTCGTCATCATTCAAGCCACCATTCCGATTCAACGAATACGCAGGCCTAGAGGTCACCGGTTCGAACCTCCATCAACACAGTATCAAAAAACACGCAGAAACCGACCTTCCAATATCTGCCTAAGTACAGGTCCACGCAGTAAACAAGATCACAAGTTCAAACACTACCTCAGTAACCCACAGGGAAACGAAAAATAACAAACAAAACAAAAAACGAAAACCAAAAAACAAGACCGAACAAACAAACAGTGACCGACAGAAACAAGTGCAGACCCCATACTCATCGGTCCTAACCTGCAGAACTTTTTCCTCGCAAACCTTTCTTCCACCCTGTCAAAACCACTACCCATTTTTGCAATAGAAGGCCTGTGAAAAGAAAAAACCAAAAAAACAAAAAAAAAAGAAGGCCTGTGGCGCGGCTCGGCAAGGGAAGGATCACAGCGCTGGCAGTTCAGGCTACATGTACCATCACACTGATCACAGCATTTTTTTTTTATTTTTTTTTTGGGGAATCACAGCATTTCTGATCCAGCAGTCTGTTTGTTTGTTTGTTTGTTTGTTTTTTTTTTTTTTTTTTTTTTT